ATTTTTTTAAGGTGGTTATGGGTTTTGTCATCACTGACACAGAAATACATGTGTGCTGCAAGATTTACTAGTGTCAGTCGTGACAGCATTGGTTTGTCTTTGTGTTTTCTCAAATTTTTCTTATGTTTCCTTCATGGCAAGATGGAAGTGTCTGTCCTCACCCTGCTTTTTTCAAATGGTAGCTAGAAAGCATTATTCATCCAGTGGCATAAAAGTATTTCTGGGCAAGATTTATTTCCTTGAGGAATATACTTTTTGACTTGTGTTTAAATGTGCTAAGTGCTCTCAAAATTGATCACGTTGTTTATATTGGAAATACTGCAACTCTTCTCCCATTCACAGAAGTTGTCTCTCTCTTTGGGAGAAAAAAGGAAGAATTTTACCTAGCTCAAAAGATCAAGAGACTCCCTAGTTGCTTGTCTACTTCTTGTAAAAGGAACTTGCATTTTATGGTGATAGATGATTTTCAAGTGTTTAAACCAAATTGCTGTAGGGCTTGCTGTCAATCATCTTTTCCATGTGCTGGAGATGAGTAAAAGCTCACTAAACCCATTTTTCATGAAGGCTTCTACAAGAGCACACACTGTCTAGGGAATCTTAGTGGTGAGTTATATCAAATTCATCAACTAAATTTGTTGTCCAATGTTGCTAAAGAAGTAAATGAAATATGGTTTTCCCTGCTATTGAGAAGCTATTCCTGAACCTTCCTGTTCATGAGATGCTAACTTGCAGGGTGATTTTAGCTCTTATTAGCTGTCTTTCTGTTCTTCAGCCATGTTTATTATCTAGTGTAATGATTTCTTTCACCATTGATGCTCATATCTTTGTGTTTTAGTGGGTATCCATCCTATTTCTTTCAATATTTGATCAGTTACAGTAGTTGAGAAAGTTACAGTAATTGAGAATTCCCCATTGAGAGATGGATTGTGTTGCTCCTTTGGTCACCCTTTACCTCTTTCTGGGAGAGTTCATCTTTTGTGTGGGTGTGGAGGGGGAGGTGTTTGAGCAGAGAAAACCGCATATAGTATTTAAAAAAAATCACAGAAGCCTTTTATGTATTGTTATAAATACATTCCATTTTCTCCTGTAAGGATCTCAACTAGGATATCTAATATCAGATTTGCCATCTCAATTTTCTTCATTGTTTTATGGCAATCCAGTTCTACGATTTGTCACTTGCACCTGATGACTTTTCAGTCTATAGTAGAAATTCTTGGTTTTTAAGTGTGTGAATTCAGATTTTGTGCTTTGGATTTAATCTTGTTTCTGTTACTCTTTGTTTACTCAGTCACAGAATAAAGTGGCATAAAAGATGATGCGTTATCACGTTGCTTTTCTTCCTTGGAAATGCTGCCTTTATTTATTCATATAATTTCATTCACACACATGATGTTGATACTGAGATGGGTTTTATTAATAAACACAATACTTGTTCTTTGGTAACTCTTCAAATAGTTAATACATAGAGCTACTTTACCTTGAAATGTGTCCCATTGTCAGCTGCCCCTTTAGGGTATTTTTTTTCTCACCTTGGATGTATTCCAGTTGTCATTTTTCCCATCTGATGAAGTACTTGAAACTATTATAAGGTTGAAATTTGAACTCGGATCTTCTGCTTGAGTAGAAAATCAATTATCAGAGAAGAAAGGATAGTTCATTTTCCACACATTTTTCTTTATGTTCATTCTTTCAAAATTGTTTTTTTGGCATGCTTTGGATTCACAAGTCTCCAAATGTCTCCTTTGTGCCCCTTTTTTGGATGTGTGTGATCTATTTGCTAATCATCTGATACCACCTCTGAGTTTTGCTTGTAAATGACTTGTGCTAGTTTTTACTTTCTTAAGGGTGAGGCATTTCTTTTATCAGTGTGTTCATTACATGGTCAGTTATCATAACTATTATTGAAAACTGAGGTAAAAATAACAGATTTTTTTTCTTTGTTTTATGATATCCCACTTTGACTTGCTTAATCTTATATACTCTCTTGTGCTCCTTCTCTGACTAGACAACTTTTACTCTTTACTTGGATTTTTTATGCAAAATCTACCTCAGCATGACTACTGACATTTTACGTTTCCAAGGCTTCAAGCTTCTATACCAATACTTTTGCCAACTTAACTTTTTTTCAGGCATCAGAGACTTTCACATTATCACCTTCCGCTGCTATAAGAGACATTGACTTGGGAGGGAAAATCTCACAGTGTGCATCATGGAGAACTTACTTATTATTCATGGAGAACTTATTATTCATCGGACAGTTGAAGAAATTACTAGCAATTCTGTATATAGCAGATACCATTTGGAAATCCTAGAAGCTGTTCCATGCTATTTGGGCTATCCAAAAGCATAATTTTAAACTTTAGGCTGTGGCATCAGCTAAGAATGGTGATAAACAAAGATGCTTGTACAATTCTCTTGTTAATACTTTTAATAATAATCATTATAATCTGTTTTGATGAAAGCCATTGTACAGGTCAGTCAAAGTTGCACAGATGTTGATAATTCACTATGAAGTCCTTCTCAGTGTCTTTCTGTCTAAACTGCATTGTGTGGTGTTACAAGAAGGGAATGTATCCTAACTGAGACACAGGTTTTTAGTAGCATTTTGCCTCAAATTAGGTACGATGGATTTTAAATTTTAGAGGAACATTAGGTTAAAGAACTATTCAAATACAAGGCTGTGTTCATTTACTAATAAATTGTAGTAGTTGCAGACCCTTTTTATGTTCCAGCTGCTATCTTGTAATAGAAGATGTCAAGTACACTGGAGTCTTTCAATTACTAGGACAATATAGTAATTTCTTACTTCTAAATTCAAACTTAAGTCAGCCAAATCTTCAAACTGCTTTACTTCTGCAGAAGACCTAAAAAAGTAATATTGGTATTATGTTTCATTTATCTGTTCTGTTTAAAGTCTATAAAGCAGGAAAACCATAGACAGTGATTTACCACATCCCTGGGGCTGTCCATGTAGTTCTAGGTAGGGCTGAAATGCACATTTGTCAAAGGTGTTTATGGTGATGCATGGGCATAACAATCATATCACATAAAGGTGCATCACTAATAGAAGTTGTTAGGGTAGGTGGTAGATTCAATCATGATACAAATAAGTAGCTTCACTGTGTCACCCAAATTTTCACGTTGTTGGCTTCCACCTGTCTGCTGTAATGAAAATACAGTTTCTGAAGTTCCTTGTTTCTTTTTGTCTCAGGCTTAGATCGATGCTTGTCTTTGCAACACTTGTCTCAAACTTGCTGTCTTTTGATTTCCACAGCTGTGGATTTGGTTCTGCCCAATATTCCTTTCTGATCACATCTTTCCAGTGCTTTTAGAATGACTTCCCTTAGCTCCACTCTTTATGTCCCTAAGAGTTACATCTCTTCAGTCCTTGTGGTCACCCTCTCTCCTGCAGTAGCATGTTTCTAGATGAGATGGTTTTTAACATAAATCTGACCAACAGTTTGTGTTTGTGGCTCCTGCTTATCCCTTGTACCTTATGTTATCATTTTTGACCTCCTGTAGTTGTAGTGGAGCACCACTGCAAGTCTAGCATAGCTAGAAGAGAGCTCTCATTCTTGATGTGGTGTGTTGGACTCCTAGAGCCAACATTTCCTTGGTCTCTCTCGTGCTGCTGAAGCATTGGCTGCTGTGGCATGCAGCCTTGACAGCCAGAATGTAACAAAGAGCAAGTCTCACAAGGAGCTGCTGAGGGAACTGGGCTTGTTTGGCATGCAGAAAAGGAGGGTCAGGGTTAGGGAAAGAAAGAAAAATAAGAAAACACTTCCTGCATGATAAAAAAAAAAGCATCTAAATTATTTCATTTGCTGGAAAAGTGGAATACATTTAAGCGCTATGATATTCTTTAGATTTCTTGTCTTGACAGATATCTGTATAGTCAAAAGATAATATAATTTTTAATCAGTATTTTATTTCCCCTAAAACATTGATTTTAGGGAAAATAAAATCATCTTGAGAATCATCTTGAGACTTTTTCTGTAGGGTGAAATAATAGAAGACTCATTTCTCCCAAATGTGCCTTGGAATGTACTCTATTTGCAATTTACCATTAGAAATTGATTCTTGGCAATGGATATACTAGTGCTGCAGATGTAAGCAATTTCCAGATAAAACAGAAATCATTCTGGTGACTACAGTGGGGGGGCGGGGGGGAAGTGATTCCATAGAAATTATGTTTTTGGGAGTACTGCTTCACAACTCCTCCTGAACCTGGTTTAATCTGGCAGAAGGATGACTTCAGCAACAGTGCCTGCTTTAATATGTTAATTAGTGATGAGACCTAGTTTTCTTTCAATAAGAAAACTATTAATAATTTCTTTCAAGCAATAACTATCAATAAGTTCAATAACTATCAATAATGTCTTTCAAGCAATTGATAAATATGGGATTATTTTCAGATTACAGAATAATAGTTGAAACAACCAGTAGTAAACCCATTTTGGCACACTTTTCTTTGAAAACGCCCTGTTTTCTGAGAACAACAACCTATGAACTTTAGGGCAAGTGAGGTAGGGATCCAAAGCAAAAGAAAATTATTGATAATAAAATAACTATGTGGTGATCAAGAACTGTGTTGTCCAGACAAAGAACTGGACCAAGCTTCATTCTGGCATCCTCAAATCCTGATGTTCACCTTTGATAAGAAAACAGTTATACTTGTGTGTAATTACTTTTTTTAAGAAACATACTGATGGCAAGCAGGATGAATAGGTGGGATGGGCAGCTCTGTGCTGAGTGTGGGACAGAGAAGGGTAGGTAGTGATGGGCAGCTGTGCTGTTAGAACAGCAGCCTGTGCCACAGAGGCTGTGTGTATCCTGATGTTGATGCTTGGAAGATAATGTGGTGAATCTGTGGTGTCTTTTCTTCTAGGGCCTGTTTTAGGATTACTTGTTTGCTATTTGACCTGTTTGGTGGTTTTGTTGCTGTGTTTGCTTTTCTTAACCAGCACAGAAGTAACAAGAGCTTCTCTGTTTCTCTGCAGCTTTTACGAGAGTTGAAGCACCCAAATGTGATTGCATTGCAGAAGGTTTTCCTTTCTCACAGTGACAGAAAGGTTTGGCTGCTGTTTGATTATGCTGAGCATGATTTGTGGGTAAGTACAGATTTCCCTGAGTATTTGAGATTGTGCAATAAGAATTTGTTCAAACTGATGTGTGTGTGATGTGCCTTCATATAGGCAGAGATGCATTAATTTCTTACTCTGTAATTAAGGGTCTAACTGATAATCCTGTTACTTTTACACTTTAAAGCTTGCCAAAGACTACATAGATTTTTTTTTTTTGGAGTCAGATTGGGTTTTGAAGTGAAAAGGATTCTTCTGCAAGCTTTAATTGGAGTTAAAGAAAGCATTCCTAAATTGAGATCTTCTAAAACTGTGTTTGGAAATGTATTTAATACTTTTTTCCCTGACATTTTGCACATACACACGCAAGAAACAAAGGAGAGTGACTGCTTTGATGAGTCCTCTCACTGAGAGTGACTGCAAGGGACTGACATTCAATCATCTATATTTTAAACAGACAATTTGTGACAGTATGAGTGGAAATAAAATAACAAGTAAGCTAATTGGGCCTATTGATGGACACTGATTATATGGAAGAGGAGTAGAGACTTAGATGTTTGTTTTTAAGTTTCTAGCAAAATGCGATAGGATTTGGTTTAGTCTGTTGGAGGTGGACATCAATGATATTGGGACTTGAACTGGAAAATATTCAAGCTCCACATCTGTTGATAAGATGTGAGTTACTTGAACCTGGATTTGTATTTAAATCTGAAAAATATCAAACACCAAGTGTAACCAATATGTTTATGATTCCTTTGAAATACTGGCAAGGAGAGGAAGTGGTAATATGAATTCCAGTATTACTTTTGAAGGCTTCAGTAATACAGGTGTTGCTATTACAAATGTTAGTGAGACATTGCTCAATTTCTTCATTCTTCGCTCTTGAGCTTGTAAATGACCCAAGATTTTAATTGGACAGAAAGTAAACTTAGACCATTCAAAAAGACACTTCTGTCTCAGAGCATGTAAAATCATGGTAATTTGTTCCCCTTCAAATGTTTGAAGTATTTAATTTATTTCTCTTATGGGCTAGCAGGTTTGTATTTTGCAAGTTTTGTTCATCAAAGTTCAGTGGACATTGTAAGTTTGTGTATTTCACATAACTGGTGGTAGTGATGATGAAGAGAAGTGCATCAGCTAAATCTCTGTATGACAGACTTTATTTCTGCATTAAATGAGTTTACTCATTTTATGGAACAGTCATAACAAACACATTTTACTTCTGCATTTATTGCCACCTTTTTTCCTAACCTTTTCCTTTTGATTTTACTTTGGGCGTGTGGTTTTTGCACTACATAGTCATTTTTCACATCATTTAACAGCTTTAGAAGAAGAATCATTGCAGTTTGATGTTCTTGCCACCCCTCCCATATGGCTGGGTATTGGATATAATCTCAGTGAAGTTAATGATTTTCTATTATTGAAGACTGAAATGTTTGTTACAATGAGGTACTTGATATGAACTGGTCTCCCACTTCTTAACTCTCTTTTGTTTTTTGTTTTTTTTTTTCTATGGGACATGCTACACAAGTCATTTCTCCTTTCCTGTATAATTGCCCATGTTTCCTTGCTTCTTAAGCCTTTGCCAGGAATTTTTTCCTCCCTTGCATAAAGTTTGCCATGTTCAAGGCACTCTTGGTTCTGGCTTAACCTTGATCCTCATTTCCTTTACTGTCAGCACTTCCCAAGCATCGCTCTTAATTCCCCTTTTGTCTGTTTTGCTCACTCCCAACTTTGTGTCTTTTTCCACGCTGCCTCCTACACATGGAACAGCCTCCCAATTAACGTACGTAAAGATCCTTCACTATCCTCCTTCAAAAACCTCCTGAAAATCCACTTATTTTGTAACGCATTTCAGTAATACCAACCACTTGTCATTCTGTCTGTGTTGTGTTGTGTTTTGCATTTCCTGTGCTTTACAGCTTGTGCCCTTTCAACTCTCTGGGGTAGAAATTTTAGTAGGGATTTAGCACTGTTTTTTAAAATTGCTTAGCACCATGTGCTTTGCCAGCATTACATAAAGACAAAATAAGTCTATTTATCACAGATATATCAGTTTATGAAGATTTAAGTTTTGGAATGGAAGGTGTGCTGTCACTAGAGACATGTAGTTTTCCAGAGACAAATGTTTTCAAATGTAGGTAGTTTAGAGTTACTTAACAAAATAAGTATGGAAACTGTTTCTGTTCAAAGCTGTCCAGCTTTTAGTAACACCTATTGGCTTCAGTGAGAAGAATAAATGCTCATCACATTCAATCACTAGATTAATTAAAATCATTATATTTTTCAGCTTCTGTACTGGAAACATTTGGCAAGAGATGAATCAACTATATCAGATGCTATGCTATTCTGTTAATTTTCTAGTACTGAAAAAAAATGTCCTGTTCTAAAGGGTTGGTGCTAATTAAACTTATTAAAAAGTTCTTCCATGGTGAGCAAGAACTTTTTTTTTTTACTTCTCATTTAATTCCCAAGGATGAAACTGCTCAGATATGAAATTTTATATTAATAATGGTCTGTAACTTCTACTGATACCATTACCAAGGAATGTAGAAGCTTTGCTAGTTTGAACTGCTTTAGGCAAGTATTGGTGAACACTGATTATGCTGTTCTTAACTATAAAGATAGTAATCAGTTTTAATAACTAATCCTATCAAAGATACTTTCTCTTCTTATCTCTCAAGTTACATTATACAAAACAGCACAAAACCATGAGATTACCATGCAGACTATCTAAGACTATAGGAATTCTTTTGACAAATTGATTTATAACTAGTTTCCTTTGATTACCAGAATTCTTAGTGTAATACACAACGCTATGATTTTTCTTCGCTATTTGTCTCTGCCAAAGAAAACTGGTAAAGTTCTCAGGCTGTAGGATGTTAACTTTTTATTTTTAAAGGTCAGAATTTGTTTTCAATGCCAGAATTCCTGTTGTCTTATCAGCAAAAGAATAACTTCTTTTTTTATTGAACTTTGATGAATATTCTTTATCACTCTAGTCTTATACTTCTAGACAGTATACCGCTGTCCAGAACTTCCTGCATAAAGCTAGTGCATTTAAAGACATTATTCAAATTTATATCAAATGTTTTAAATGCATGATGATTACTAAAATGGGCTTCAGGAAAAGTTTGATACAAATGTCCTGGAGATGAAGTTTTTTTGTCAACCTAGTTACTTTTAGCCACTGTAGAGGTTACAATATTTAGAACTTTTTTTTTGTTCCCTTTAAAAGCAGATTTCTAATATTGAAAGTATTTGCTAAAGCACATGTTTTTAGTACCACAAATAAACACACATTTGATGACTTCAATTTCATAGTCTCTATACTTTAAGCAGGATTTTTTTATTCTAACCAACATTTTTATTATAATTAAAAAAAAACTTTTTGCATTGACAGGTTATCTATATACCTTTTCCTAGTTATGGTACAGAGTTAATTCCCAGACTCGTTTAGTATGTCTATATAAAGTCAAATTTTTACAATCCCCTTTTCTGGAAATATATGTTGTAATTTAAATAAGAAGCTTCTGGATGGGTTTGATCTCATTCTGAAAAAGGGTGACATTTTTATCATAGTAAAAATGTGTTAAATGTGTTTTATAGCAACAAAAACCACTTCTGGTTCTTAATAAGTAAGTACATAAATAATTAACTATGATTTGGTAATATTGAATGTGATGATACATTCAGTATCCCAGACCAGTTAAACCATGATCTGTGCATTTTTTATGTTTGGTTGAATGTTTCTCTCTTACTATTATGTTCCAGTGATCTCTAACAACTAAATCCTTGCCAACAAATGCTACTGAGAAATGGAGTAAAATTAATCTTGGAATTATTGTTGATAATAATAAAAATATATGGGCAAGACTTGCTTTGTTTTATACGAATTACTTGTTATGTACATGTTCTGCTTTTAAAAAATGTAGGGTAGAGATTTTTAGCACAGTCATGAGTACCTAAAAATAATAATCAAATAATGGAAAGGAGAAACTCTTCTTCCTACATGTGAATTTCATAGCACTACTTGATGCTCTGTCTACCAATAAATATACTTTATTTCAGCTAACAACATTTTGAATAATCTTTTATGATAAATTGGGAGAGTGTTGCATACTGATGTGTACAATAAACCTGTACATTTGTTCAATTCCATGAACGTTGTCTAACAGCTGAGTTTTAACATATTCCTTAAATATGGTATAATCAGTTAGAATTCTTTCTTCAACAGGCTTCAGTTTAGCTCTAAATCATACACATAATTCAGATGCTAGTTGATGACAAATATCTTTATATACATAAAAATACTTTTCTCAGTGTAACGTGTTTTTTAATATTTTGATTTTCTAAGCCATGTATACACTTCTGGTGTAATTCAGGTGATTTTGCCAGGTGGTTTTTCATGCAGTTTTTCCTGCAGTCTTCTCTCTTATATACATATGTATGAGCATAGGCTGGAAGAAGAATATAGGGTTTGTGGAGACACAAGGGAATGGGCTGGCATAGGTCTTTATGTCATGATTGATTCCTTCCAAGTGAAATGGATAGGGTTTTTTGACCATCAAGGTCATGGTTGAATTTCTTGCAGAGAGCAGTGCCATTCCTTGACCATAGCTCTTTGTCATATTCTCAAAACATGCACTTGCTTTTTCTGCAAGTGTATGTTTTGAGAATATGACAAAGACTTTTATGAATTTGAGGGTAGTTTATATGGACTCATTTTCTGCACCACAAAGCATGAGAAGTGGAGGAAACAACAGGTAGGAGCAGGCCTCAAAACAAAGGCAAGGTTCAAAAGCATAAGTGTGTGAAAAACTCAAGTGAACAGAGTGGTGTATTTCACTTTTATGTGTACTGAAAGGGTAGCTGAATTCTAATGATTTTTGTTAATGTTGTATAAAGTTATTTTGCAATATTTAGGGCTGAAAGATACTATTAAGACCTAGAAAGATGCAGGCAAAACCTAGAAAAATTATATGGGATGTGTTTGATCTGTGTCTCAAAACTTAGATATATAAAGCAAG